AAATAAAATGCCCCTTAAACATAGTGCTGTGTCATCTAATGTTCCTAAATGCAAGAGGTAGAAACATTTGCCTAGCATGTGTGAAGCACTGGGTTCCATTCTCTGCACCATATATAAATAAATAAAATGAAGGTCCACTGACAACTAAAAAATATTAAGAAAACAAAGATGGTTGATGTGCCTTAAGGAGAAAATCTCTGTGTTAGAGAAGCATGGTATAAAGTAAGCACTCAGTATTGACAGCAATTATTATGGAAGAATGTCATGGCAAATGGGAAAATGAAGTGGCTTGTAGACATCAAAGTAATGCTGGTTCCACTATCTCAAACCAAATACATGCCCCTTTTCTTCCAGCTCCCCAGATGGTCATTGGCCAAATTTAGGTAATTACTTCTTGGAACCCTTCTTCTAATTATTGTACTCTAGACCAGCATGAGTTATAGTACTATTGGTCATGCATTCAGCAGTAATCAACAAAAGTAAAGTGTCTTTAAATAGAAGTATATGTAAAACAAGATTATACATGCTCAACTGATGAAAGCAAAAGTTCAATATTGTATAATTCACTTTTTATGATGAGTTTAAAGAACATAATTACTATGAATAATGAGTTGATCATATGGGTTTTTTAAAACTTCCAAGAATAGTACATATAAAAATCATTTATTGCCTCAGTAATTCAATAAATTATTTATTCAGCTTCTTATATTTTAGGCATTTGCCAAAACATACAATGTTGAGTATCATATCCATTGGTAAAAATAATTGACACTTTTGACTTCACTGGACCTTATGCATATATAACTTAAAATAAGTGATATTAAAGAAAAAGCAGAATGAACTAAGGCCTAATATCTGTAAGACATAATTTTAGATCAGGTATGACCTCACTAAAGAGATGCTACTTGAGCAAAGGCCTAAAGGGTGAGCAGCAATTAACAGCCAGTGATGATATGGAGGGTGCAGTATGCTAGACAAAGAGAAAACCCCAAATAGTTTTAGATTTTTGGTAGGACAAGGCTACACGAAATATCATTCCAGGTGCTGAATGGATTAGAGTACTAGAACCTAATGGGGAGACTTAGGAGATCCCTATAGTGATTTAAGAAAGGTGATGCTGGTCTAGAAGACTCAAAAATTTTGTCGGAACATAAAACTGGAGCTCACCTTCTCATATGTTGACATGGCATTCCGCTCCTCACAGAGTATATTTCATCTTCTCTTAGTCTCTTTAGTCACTGCTATGAATTAAGGATCCATTCCTCCTTTTAAGGTCAACACGCCTGAATTCCAAGGGAAATTATTTCCAGTGAAACTGCAATTCATATTGTGTCCTATCTATAGATGAGATTTGCCTGTCTCCTATTCCTGACAGTTTCATTCAGCATCTTAGACTTGTTACAAACTGTCTTCCCAATGTGAACTTGCCAACAGTATACTTCTTCATATTTATTGATCCCCCACACCTGCATTTGTACATTTCAACCCATTTATCCTAATAGCCCTTTCTTTTAGGTCTGAAAATTATCTACAAATTATAAAACAAAGTATGGTATTCGGCATTTGTAACCATATGTTTATATATGCGTAGGTATGATTAAAATCACTACAGTATGGAGGATAGCCCTGAGCGTTGTGTATTGAAGGTGATTCTGATCACAGCAAAATTTGAGGAAGCCATCTGCTTCCCTAATCACCTCCTCAGCTTCTATTATTATCTGACCTTAGTGTTTGTGCTTTTCTGTGTTTTACAATTGCTTAGCCATATTTGAAAACCATATAAGCATCTTTGCTGGGTGTTATTTTCAATTTAATCTTCCATTTTTTAATATTTATTTTTTAGTTTTAGGTGGACACGATATCTTTATTTTATTTTTATGTGGTGCCGAGAATCAAACCCCAAACATATTAAGTGAACGTGCTACCACTTGAGCCACATCCCCAGCCCCTCCCTTTTTTTTA